GTGAGTGAGCGTAGCGAACGAACTTCAACCAGGACGTGATTGAGCCATGCAAACGAGATCATCTTGAAAATTAAGAAGTTAAACGGGGCAAAGCCCGCGGGTTACAGCTAGTAGTATATAAGATACTTCATTTAACATAAATCAGGACAGTATCGGTTAATATATCGAATCGAAGATGTAAAAGGTCGAAATAAGAAATAAGCAAACCAACTGCTGTTCGAATGTACGAAGGTTTCAACTGACTACAAGATCCACACAGCTAGTACTATTTTATAATTGATTTTGAATACACATAATATCCTTTTTAACCCTTAGAGTGCCAGGCAAGAAATAAAAGTAACGCTCAAAAAATGCCGATGATTTTTCCCGAAGGTCGCGCTAAAAATGCCGAGCGCGATCTGGCGATTTTTAGGTTAAAATTTCGTAAAAATTGAATTTTCGATATTTCGACCAACGAAAATCAATGTATCGCATCTAGTAACTTTCGACTCAATGTTAATATATGGGTTAAAAGAATCTGAGTATCCATTCGGCTGTTATGACAACTGTTCGATCATTACGAAACGTCCGGTCAGCCGGACGTTGGCACTTTTGGCTCGTTCTAAAAACGTCCGGTCGGCCGGACGTCGGCACTTTTGGCTCGTTTTAAAAACGTCCGGTTCCCCGGACGTTGGCACTCAAAGGGTTAAAGTAGTATTTTTTTTCTTATGGCCTATTGAAAAGTTTAAAACTTGTCTAAATAATGTTATTATGGAAATTGCAGTGTTAAATGGTTGATAATGTTGACATACCATATTTAGTTAAACGGTATATATTCTTGTTTAAGCTGAATTCCACTTCTTGATTTTTACATAATTTTTTATGAACATTTTGATTTTTCTTGCAATGGATAGTAACAGAAATTTCCTTCATACACGTACGCATAAGCTTGAATAACAGGAGAGGTACATTATTAAACACCATAGTTAACCCGCCCGTGATCCGCCACGGGAATATTGCCAATAATAAAAGACATAATAATTAACAAATACTGTTTATCTTTGTATTTTATTTAGTGGCTGCTTAGTCTTTTTACATGAAATAGAACTGATAGTTGGATTGTATAAACTATTTATGTTAATCAAACCAATATATCAGTTTAACCAAATGAATGTTTCATTTACATACAAAAATAAACTAAAATTATGTTCAGTTTTGTAAAAAAAAGTGCTTAGTGTGTATAAAAAACTGTACCGATACTTTATTTTATCGATTTCCGTATTCCATGTTGTGTCATCAACATCAAAATTAATATTTTAATGTCTTTTACTTTGTGTGCTCCAACTGTGGGATCGAGTTGTCGAAACACAACGACTGCTGGTTGGCAGTAGCTGGTAGGTAAGGAGCACCCGGGGTTTGGGGTCTAGAAGTGAAAGTTGTGCTCTGTCGATCACGTTTGGGGAAACACCCTCGGACGTCAGCCCCAGGGCCCAACTCACACACATGTCACCCAATCGCGGGAACAACGTTCTGTCTAAAACTGGTTGAACAACATCCTGCTTAAAATCGAAATGACCCATGTAGTTCGGATAAACTTGGCCCAGCGTGCCACCATCAGTTCGGACCAATGCCCTAGGTACTACAGACTCTTAAGGGATAAAATACCATGAATTCGCTAAAATTAATAATAGCTTAAAAGAGTAGATATTTTTAGTCATTATTCAGGGTGTCTAGTAGTCGGGAAAATCGGGAAAGTCGGGAATCGGAATTGAATTTCAAAATGGTCTTGAAAAGTCGGGATTTAGTCTTAAATTTGATTTCAAAGTCGGGAATTTTTATGATTTTGCCGCGATCGTCGTCTTCCGTTTACGTAACCGCGAAAGCCAATGATGATTGTCCTCACGGCCTCGGGAAATGTTCACGATTTTGCCGCGATAGTGGACGACGACGATGACGTTTCCGTGACCGCGGGAGACGACGATGATATCTGCTCGGCCGCGGGAAATCTTCATGATTTTGTCGCGATCGCGGACGACGACGATGACGTTTCCGTGACCGCGGGGGATGACGATGACGTTTCCGTGACCGTGGGACACGACGATGATATCTGCTCGGCCGCGGGAAATGTTCATGATTTTGCCGTGATCGCGGACGTCGACGATGACGTTTCCGTGACCGCGGGAGATGACGATGACGTTTCCGTGATCGCAGGAGACGACGATGATGTCTACACGGCCGCGGGAAATGTTCATGATTTTGCGGTGACTGCGGACGTGAACGATAACGTTTTCGTGACCGCGGGAGATGACGGTGATGTCTAAAATGCCGAGGGAAATGTTCATGATTTTGCCGCGATCCCGGACGACGACGATGACGTTTCCGTGACCGCGGGAGACGAGGATGATGTCTACACGGCCGCGGGAAATGTTCATGATTTTGCCGTGATTGCGGACGTCGACGATAACGTTTCCGTGATCGCGGTAGACGACGGTGATGTCTAAACAGCCGCGGGAAATGTTCATGATTTTGCAGCAATCGCGGACGACGACGATGACGTTTCCGTGACCGCGGGAGATGACGATGACGTTTCCGTGACCGCGGGTCTACACGACCGTGGGAAATGTTCATGATTTTGCCGTGATCGCGGACGACGACCATAACGTTTCCGTGATCGCGGTAGACGACGGTGATGTCTAAACAGCCGCGGGAAATGTTCATGATTTTGCAGCAATCGCGGACGACGACGATGACGTTTCCGTGACCGCGGGAGATGACGATGACGTTTCTGTGACCGCGCGAGTCGACGATGATATCTGCTCGGCTGCAGGAAATTTTCATGATTTTGCCACGATCGCGGACGACGACAATTACGCTTCCGTGACCCCGGGAGATGACGATGAAGTTTCCATGACCGCGGGAGATGACGATGACGTTTCCGTGACCGTGGGAGACGACAATGATATCTGCTCGGCCGCGGGAAATCTTCATGATTTTGTCGCGACCGCGGACGACGACGATGACGTTTCCGTGACCGCGGGAGACGACGATGATGTCTACACGGCCGCGGAATATGTTCATGATTTTGCCGCGATAGTGGACGACAATGATGACGTTTCCAGAAACTACGGGAGACGACGATGACCTTTCCGTGACCGCGGGAGATGACGATGATATCTGCTCGGCCGTGGCAAATGTTCATGATTTTGTCGCGATCGCCGACGACGACGATGACGTTTCCGTGACCGCGGGAGATGACGATGAAGTTTCCGTGACCGCAGGAGACGATGGTGATGTCTAAAAAGCCGAGGGAAATGTTCATGATTTTGCCGCGATCCCGGACGACGACGATGACGTTTCTGTGACCGCGGGAGACGACGATGATGTCTACACGGCCGCGGGAAATGTTCATGATTTTGCCGTGATTGCGGACGTCGACGATAACATTTCCGTGACCGCGGGAGATGACGATGACGTTTCCGTGACCGCGGGAGATGACGGTGATGTCTAAAAAGCCGAGGGAAATGTTCATGATTTTGCTGCGATCCCGGACGACGACGATGACGTTTCCGTGACCGCGGGAGACGACGATGATGTCTACACGGCCGCGGGAAATGTTCATGATTTTGCCGTGATTGCGGACGTCGACGATAACATTTCCGTGACCGCGGGAGATGACGATGACGTTTCCGTGACCGCGGGTCTACACGACCGCGGGAAATGTTCATGATTTTGCCATGATCGCGGATGACGACGATAACGTTTCCGTGATCGCGGGAGACGACGGTGATGTCTAAACAGCCGCAGGAAATGTTCATGATTTTGCTGCAATCGCGGACGACGACGATGACGTTTCCGTGACCGCGGGAGATGACGATGACGTTTCTGTGACCACGCGAGTCGACGATGATATCTGCTCGGCCGCAGGAAATTTTCATGATTTTGCCACGATCGCGGACGACGACAATTACGTTTCCGTGACCCCGGGAGATGACGATGAAGTTTCCGTGACTGCGGGAGATGACGATGAAGTTTCCGTGACCGCGGGAGACGACGATGATGTATACACGGCCGCGGGAAATGTTCATGATTTTGCCGTGATCGCGGACGACGACGATCATGTTTCTGTAACCGCTGCAGTCAATGATGATGTCTAAACGTACGGTACGCGGAAGATTTCATGATAAAAAAAACAAATTTGCTAGTAAGAATTTTTTATTGCTGCATTATTTCTTTACTTGAAAACACCACATTATCATAATACTACTTTATGACAAAGACAAAGAGTTGGTGTGGTATTATTTAGTAAATTTGGTTATGCTATAAAAATTGGTATCGGTTTCAAGAATCGAGAATCGATACATTTTGGTATCAACACCCACTAATTGTGGGAAAAACTAGTCTTGAAAAATCTGGAATTAGTCTTGAAAAGTCTGGAATTAGTCTTGAATTTTATAATGGAAATAAACTAGACACCCTGTTATTGATTTACCAAATCAATAAATAATTATCAAATCTTATTACTTTATCTACAATTGTAAAAAACATATTACACCATTCCGGGACTTTTCAATCATACTGTATTGTAGAGTTTTTGTATGCCTAACGGTTACAGAAAAAATTCTAAAATGGAAATTTTGCTGCGACAGGGGTATTTAGTACGTTGCTAGTCTTCTGTAGATGGTTTTTTTGTGTAAGCATATAATGTTTAGGTTTTAATATTTTTCACAGTGGCCTAAGGCCAAATTTCAATATTTTTGTCAAATTTCAATAAAATGTTTTAACTAAAAGCAAAAACTTGTTTTCCCATAACAGAGCCCAGCTTAAATATTATTTTTAGCATACAACTTAAGATATGTCTAACTATTTAGAGGAACTTGTTGGAGCAGTTATTTAATCAATGTACGTGTAAACGTAATTGTGTAATTGTAGCCTAGTATAGGATAATTTAAAGAGATATGAAAACATAATTTCTGTGAAAGTTCTAGCAGATTTGACTTGTTTAGCTTACTGTACTGTGACAGGCTAGAGATGCTACAGGGGCAGAAGCCACTGTAATATACGTGCCTCCGCCTGGTGCTGCTAAGGCCATTATGGAGGCCATTGACGCAGAAATGCCGCTGATTGTCTGCATCACAGAAGGCATCCCTCAGCAGGACATGGTCAAGGTCAAGCACAGACTCGTTAGACAAAACAAATCCCGCCTGATTGGACCCAACTGTCCTGGCATCATTGCTCCTGAACAGGTCAGTGCCTTAAGTAATTATTCTGTTAAAGTAATTACTCGCAAACCTGCTGCTTGATAATTTGAACAAATTATGACTGGGCCCCCTATAAGCAAGAGTGGATCCAGAGAACTGGTTTGGGAGGGGCGGTCGGCAAATCCAACCTCCCCCTCCAACACGCCAATCAAATTTGAGCACCTTATAATGTGTCTGCTTGTCCGCTTTTGGAATGAGGGAACACTCATTGAAATAAATCAATTCTACAATCCATTTGAACATGTAGGCCTAAGTTTTAGTTTATCATCAACTGTTAATTAAAAAAAATTATGGGACAAAGTTTGAAATGACTTAACCTAAAACTAACACTTCTGAAATGAAAAAAAAATTGCTGTCTAAACATACACACTTTAATAAAATTGAATCTTCTAAGACAAAAACTAACAAGTTGCAATGAACAAAACTAAATAGGCTCAAACTAAAAATTCCAATCTTCGATTACTGCATTTTCCGAAACGATCAATAACTGCGTCTAAATTTACCTCAATGTCTCTATGTATTTTCATTTAGGCTAGGCCTGTTAGCCTTTATTCTGCAACCTACTCCACTTTTCTACTCGATTTTATAAATATAAATTTACCTAATAATAGATAATCAACATTCCAATAAAATTACAAAAAGATATATTTCAGTTCTAACTTATATTACAACAATCTCATGGGCTATGACAGTTAACTTTTATTTTGGTCTAAGTTTTATAGATGGGCTAGATAACAATTTGGAAAACAATGATCTTAATCTAGGGGTTGGTTCGTGCCGGGTATGAAATTCTGATAGGCTAATTTACTTAATTTTTACTAATGTAGGCTACTAAATAATGAGAGTCATAAAATTTAGGCTTTAAGTTCTTAGCTTGAAACAGTCACTTGAATTTAGGCTATTCACAATGATGTGATGGTGGTTGGAAATTAATGATGATTTTTAAATGTTTATTGAGTTTGATATTACCAATTTCTGTTGAATACTTACCTATCTTCTTTCTTAATGTCTCTTTATCATCGATATTTCTATATGTTATGCATGTTAATTTTCTAGACTTTTGACTATTTAAGTTAATCACTGGAGACTTGGCTCCCACATCCATCTCTATCTAGATCTTCCATCACAAGCACATTTCATTTTCTTTCTTCTAGGTTTATTACAACAACAATGTAACCTAACATGTGTTATACCTAGACAGTATAATGGGAAATATTTTAATTTATGACCCAGGCACTTATTTTGTTTTAGCATGTACAGTTTTTATTCTTCACTAATTTATATTTAATTACACTTAAATATATATATTTTTAAATACTGTAATTAAAAATATTGAAGGTAATTTAGTTACAACTAAAAGAAAACACTATGTGTGTCTTGTTTGTAATAATTTAGATTAAGTTAATAAAATTTGGTTCAGGTTTGTACCTTTAACTTACTTACTATTAAATAGTAATAAATTTTATTATGCTAAGTTAAGCCTAGATTAAATATACTTATAGCAAGACAAATGATTAAGCTGAAGAATTTCTTAACAATAAAAATTTAATGAACTAGGAATAAGATATTACAATGATGAATGGGGTTTGATATTTAAATTAACAGATAAGTTAAGTTACAGGGTCCCCATCTTTGGTTTAGCCTAGCTCAGTAAAAACAGAACAATGAGTTCATAATAATAAGGTATATCAGTTTAAATTACATAAATCTCAGGGAGGGGAACTCGGCTGGCTAAAAAGATCTTCAAATATTTTAATTTATGAAATAAAATATGTTAATTATTATGAAAAATGGGATAATTTTGATATTGCTCTTAGGCTTGGATAGGTAAATTAAATAAGTCCAACAATGAATAGGCCTAGAATGTGGAAAATTTATCAAAGTTGAATTTAGTTCTCTTGTTCATATTGTTTTTCTATTCTTGATGAAAATAAATTAGTTTTTGAATTCAAATAATTAGGTTCAATCAGAAAGTAAATAAAAATAGGTCTGTATTAAGTTGAATTTCTTGAAGTTAGGATAAGCCTTATGCAAAATGGAGAGTTCTCACCAGATCTTCAGTAACAGTGTCCAATTAATATAAATCTTGAGGTGGCAGTACAAATTTGAAATGAAAAAAAAATGTATATGTAAAAGCTAAACTGTTCTTCTGTTGTTAAGTTAATGTTAAGTTAAATAATTTTAATCACTTTGGCTTTTTAAATGTTAGGGATTATACCCTCACTGAATTTAAGGTGTTGATGCTGCCATGTCCCAATAGAGAAGGGGGAAAATTTTAATTTCACACAGGATGTTGATCAGTTCATTGTTGAAGCCAGCTGTCTTCTTTCTTCATCACTTGCACATGCACTAATAATCAGGCGTTTGGATAATAATTCAATGTTGGGGTTTTAGAAATAATCTATACTATATTAATAATTTTGGATAAAAGTGTTATTGCAACTATTAATCCACTTGCTAGGGAGGTTCCCGTGTGCATTTCATGTATAGAAAAACACCCTAAGGGATCATGTAGGCACCATGTGGGTTATCATTTTTCACGTGGGTGCCAGCTTGGCAGAGTGGGCATAACCTCAGAATCCGCCATTTTAAAAATGGCGGCGGCATTTATTACATGAAACTCATCTGGAGCTTATATCTCGAAAACGGTAATATATAGCGAGTTACTTTTATAACAACAAATGCTGCTTACACAATAAGGAACAACTTTTGTATTTACAAAAATGCCCTAAATATAACTATTTAGGAGTAGTTGAGGAATTTATGTTAATTTGACCTATAAATTTTTACTCTGTTTGACAAAAAAATTCTAATATCTTAAAAAAACTGTTTTTTAAATTTGGCACATAGCACTAATTGCTCTTTACATCTAAGGTCTAAATACCCCCGTCGCAGCAAACCTGCAAAATCAGCAAACATTTACCTGGCTGCATTTCTACTAAAATATTAAAATTGACCGATTGATTTCCTATTAAAATGACATTGATTTGTAATGAGTACTTACGTTTGCTGCTTCAGGGAAGGTATTGAGGTGTTTTTTTAATATATTTTTATTGAAATGTTGATAGCTTAGTATGAATGAAACAACATTTTGAAATTTGACTATAATCTATACTTATAAAAGGCAAAGCCCTCACTGACTCACTGACACACTCACTCACTCATCACTAATTCTCCCACTTCCCATTTACCTAGGAGGCTGAAATTCGGTACACCGATTCTTTGGGCATTAAATAGGAAAACTAAGTAGTTTTTATTCTGATCGGGCTTTCGGGCTCCGCCCCAGTGGCTCTGGAGTTTCCCATGTTAACCTTATGATTTTTCATATTTAAAAAGAATTAATGAATCTTAACAGCTGTTTCAATTAAACAAGTTGGTTCTGTTCTATGATGTTCAATAGCATTAAAGTTACAAGGGTGCATATAAAGCATACCAACAGGGTGCAGCACTATTATTTTTTTAAATTTATGACAACAGTGTAAAGTTCTTTAACCTTTGTTTGGTAAATAAGTAATAAATAAATGTCCAGGGTTTACAATGATGAATACCTATAAACCTTTTATTAGTCAAATTGTACAAATAAGTAGGGTTATAAATTTAGATGAAACTCTTAATCTCAGGGTTCTAGGAATGTGCCGGCTTAAAGTAGGCTTATGTGATGTTGGATAGGCATAAGCCTAATGTTCATCACAAGTTATATACAGTTCAATTTACACTTTTGAAAAGAAGAAAGTTCAAATTTTGAATTTAGTAAAATTATAATTTAGGTAAAAGTTCAAAACGGCAAAAGCCAATAGAAATTTTGGAATGTGAGTATTTAGCAAAGTACAAGTTCAGTTTGATCTCACCCAAAAGTTTATGGTAGTCTTATCAACAAATATATTTCTTGAGGTAAAAAAAAATGATATGTATTAAATAATTGAGAAAAATCTTGATATTTTAAATACTGTAAAGTTAAATCACCAATTAAAAGTTTTAAATAATCTTCCTGTCTTGCTTCTTCATTACTTATTCTCAATTGAAAAAAATCTTGATTCTTGATGTTCAATTTCATACATCTGTTTCAACAATTAGTTCACTGGTTTCTTGATGTCACTATTCACTGTTACTTTTATGATTGGTTGGTATTATATGAAGAGTATTTTAATCACATTTTTGAAAGTGAAAGAGAAAAATAATTTTGTAAAATAATTCAAACTGTATAAATAACTTCCAGTGATTATAAATTTAGCTTATTAAATAAATGACAGTGTTTGATGAGAATGTGAAATATGGAAATTTACAATAGGTGGAACCTTTTGCCCTTTTACTGCATGTAAACACATGTGATAATTTAGAGGTATTAATTTAGCTAATAGTAGGCCTAGGTATTTGGATACATAACACATGGTTTATTAACATTCAACTTATATACAAATTCAAAAGTAAACAATGAGGATAATTTTGGAACATCTCAAATATCCCCTCAGAAATCTGGTATTTGAGTATCCAATACTAGATTTCGAATAATGTGAACAAAATTATCATAGAAAACATTAATATTTGAACTGGAAAATACTTAAAATTAACAAGTTGTATCTTCTGAATAAGAGAAAACATAGTAATGAACAAGGTGAAACAAAGAAAAGTTTATTCTGGGCCTTTGGTTCATCAGTGCTTCCTAGTTAAAGCCTGATGATTTGGATTTATATAATTGGTAGTTCCGGTAGTAGGATTGCTTTTGTCTATAATTGCAGAACATACTTTGGACTGTTCTTGAGATGGGTACTGACGTTCTTCACGGTGTGGTGGGTTGGTGTTGTAGTTTGGTCTCTGGGAGTTGTAGTTTCCTCTTCCTCTGGAATTATAATCTTTCCTGTAGATGTTCTGTTGTCCACTGCTGTAGTTCTGTGGTTGACTGTATCCCCTCGAAGACTGGTTGTAAGAGCCATGGTTGTACTGCTGGTTCGGGCGAGTTGGACTGTTTGGCTGTCTGTTCGGCTGGT